TATTTTGGCTTAGGCTGACCGTACTTCACTACACATGAGAAGGTGGGTATTGCTTCAATGTACTGTATTTAGTTCCTTTAGGTAAATACCCGATAGTGGAATCGCTGGATCCTAACATGCTTCTGTTTTTACTTCTTTGAGCGAAACACACAGCAAACCCCAAATGAGATGTCATCTCACTTCAGCTACAATGCTTATGACAAAAAGATAAAGAGATTAAATGTAGCAATCTCTTCCAAATTCACGTAGCTAGTACCTGGCCACAGTGGAATTCCCTGAACCAAATGTCTGACTCAATTCCTTTGTTTCAGAGGGAAATACATTGCTAATGCGTGTGTCCATATTTTTTTCAACAGAAAAATGCCAACTGACAAAAATAGAAGTCTCATGCTCATTCTGAGCTCATTACAATGTTCCCTTAGCCAAAATAACCCTGAATCTAACGAGTTACGCGGAATTAAGCATTAAGGCAATAATAATGCCAGAGAACGGCAGAGAATTTCCCCAAATTCAGTCGCACTCTCCACACCAGTAATGCACTAAAGCCAACATCGTCTATGCAGTACTACAACACTAGGAATCTTTTCAAAGGAGTGTAACTGTTTTTCTATGCCTCTAAAGAAAATAGAATCATATTTAACAGCTTTTTGAAAATCGAAAAGGAGGTGGGCAGGGTGGCACATGCATGTAAATGTAAGAAAATCTGAGGCAAGCAAGACAGAGACTGGATTGGGAATTTCCACACAAACCTGCAGACGTTCAGAAATCCAAACCAGCGGAATTAGTATTAGAGTGTTCTCTAAATACAGTATAAAATTAGCGCACACACTGACCACTAAGCATAAATTGCTGGGCTAGCACTAGTTGATGGGACTGGTTTCCCAATGCCCTTTGCAAGAGCCAACAGGCGGAAGGGAGTGCTGAAGGGGGCAGTGAGCATGCAGTGTTTCTCCGAGCCGTGAGTCTCCTAGGAGGGCGTCAGGCTGGTCATTAACTGAATTTGTTTCCTTTTAAACCAACTGCACAATATGAGAGTTTAGACACCACAGCTCACCCCTCATCACAATGAATGCCCTTATGTTTCTTGGAACGTCAATGGGAAGAAGCATACATTATATACAGCGTATACCTAGATTAATGCATACATTGTATATGGCTTTACTCAGGAAGTGAACCTTTCCTATGTCCGGCTAGGGTTGGAGAGAAATTCACTGCACCACTACCATATTTAGGAAGGAGGTACTCAGAGGCCACCTTGGGAAGGGCATCTTAGTTTCTGAAAAAACTAAGCTCGTTCACAGAACAACTTCACTTCGGGATCACTGGGGTCACCCTAACACACTCACTGCGTAGGAGACAGCCACAGCAGACAGGCAGGGAGAAAGCTGGGGCTGGTTTTAGATCCTCTGAGAAGTTTAAGCAGCTGTGTTCAGGTCGTGAGGGACACAGCAGTCCCACTCTCTGCTGAGAAACCCGTCCAAGGTTCATGGTATTTTCTGAAGAGGCTTGGTCTGCAAGTGATGGCATTAAGTCCAGCACACTGCATTCTCCCCAGCTACTTCCACCTCAGAGTACAATTATCTCTTTGCGTTTCCCATTTGCCAGTGTGGGCAAGGATACGTCTTGCTTTAGACAATGGGCACTTCCCGTTTCACAATGTCAGAAATCTTATTAGGATCTTATGTATCATTGCAGTTCATTCGCACCAAAGAAACTATTCGATATTTACACATGTGTGACTTATTTATTTCACTTAGGAGGGCAGGGAAAAGGGGAAAAAATGAGAACCAAGACCTGTCGTGGAGAGGTACAAGATCCCAACAATGAACGTAACTGTACTGTATCCCTGAAATGTACCAATAAACTCAATTAAAGCTGAAACAAATTTAAAACAATAAAAAATAGACAACAGGCACTTGAGGAGCTCAGGAAGTTTACAGACTAGAGGGCCCTCTGCAGCAGAGGAGGTATCCCAGTGCCCCACAGGCCAGGAAGAAGTGGAGACAGGAGTGGCTGGGGGCACACAGCGAGTCACAGACTGTAAAAGTTGCTGCAGTGAATGGAGCCCTGAGGCAGGCATCACCTCTTTGATGGACCATGGCCAGAAAGGCAGGGCAGGACTCAGAATTCACACAGCAGAAACCAAATTAGATATACTTCTGCTCGCTGTCCCTACCCCATTCTCTGGTGAATTTCAATACTACAGACCCCTCCAGCCTGGCATTCAGCTCAGCGCACCATACCTGACCTGCAAAAGCAAGGTCCTGAGTTCTATCCCTAGACACGCCCCCCAAATACTATAGACCCCTAAAGAAAGCAATCACGGTCTGGCATCGGGGCACAGAGACTTCAGGGCAGAGTAAAGGTCACTGACAGCCCACCATGGAGCTTAGCAGACTGCTGTGCAAGGCCTCTTGATGGTGACTCAGGGGAGCGCCCTCATAAAAGGAGATTTTCCATTATTTTGTCTAAGTGACATTTCCGGAATACGTTACATCCACATTCAAACGACCCCCACATGGAACAGGAAATCAAACATATGGAATTCACTTCTTTATTGCAAATAGAAGCGCTGTGCAGATAAATGTGACATGGGCTCCCATCTGTGGAACAGATGACCGTGGGAATAATACTCCAACCAGGATCTGAGTCTTGAAAAGGGTTGGCGGCCTAGGACGTCTCTTGCAATCAGTCAATCGCAAGGTAGAGCAGGAAACTAGGTCATACGTGCAGGAGCTCTTCTTTATAAATTTTCCTACATTTGGCTCTCTCATTTTTGAACCAAACCTGAGGTCAGAGGAGAGATGGACTTGATTAGAAGGAGCAGGTGCTATCATAATGGAAAAACACGTCACGAAACTTCCTCTGCCCCTGACACTTACGAGGGAAGCTGTTTTTCTCAGGCTCAAATACCTCAGACGGCTGGAGGAGAGGTCAGTGAAGCAACACAGGGCAAGACTGCCCAGGACCCTGAGCTCCATCCCAAGCAGCAGAAGAGAAAATAACTTAGGAACTAACCCCACACCTCCTCTTTCATCTCACCCTGAGTGAACACCAGCTCTGGGGCCTGCTCAGGGACTCAATTACAAGTTTTTTCCTGTGATCCGCACCTTACTATTGTCTAACGGTTTCTTCCAGGAGAGGGGTGCAGGCCTAGGTGACAAAGTGGATCCAGGTGCCCGATGTTGGCTACGCGTCTTCTAAGCAGATGAAGCAACACGGCATGAGCACCGTTGACCCCATGCCGGCCAGCTGACTCCTGCCACTCCTCCCTGGGAGAGTTTCACCAAGTTTGGGGGCAAGGGATGAAAACCCCAGTCTGTATTTAAAATCCTCTGGGCGGAGAAGAGCTCTCAGCTTGAAAATCCCACCTTGAGTGAGAAGTAACTAATCTGGAAGACGAAAAACGTGGGCCTCTGACTGAGGCTTCCTTCAAGGTTGGGTGAGGACCCTGTATCCTAGGTAGCCCCTGAGATTTAAAAGCAGTTGAGAGGACACTGCTGTGATTTGTGCCCTGTGGTCTCAGAGAAGTGGACATCGAATTATCCTGACAGAACAGAAACTCCCCAAATCCTTGCCCATCCAAGGTTTTAAAGGGAAGATGCCGCCATGGTCTCCAATGTACTTCCTGCTCCCTCCAAACTGCCACACCTCTATGCCTTTCTGGGCTCAGAACAAAGCCAACCCATTTCATTTCCTCACTTCTTTCAGTTTGTGGACCCATCTTGGGCAGGGGACCGGATGGCCTTGGGCTCCACTTAGATGTGCACAGCCTGGCCCTTGTTGCCAAGGCACAAAAGTGGAAGCCATTTCCAAGGAGAAGTCCCCCAGCTGGGAGGAGTGGGCCAGGTCTCTGCACAGCTCCGCTAAACACCTCTGCCAAGCATTACACTGCAGCCAGACCCAGACCTGTGTCAGATGTCACTGTGCTCTGGACGTGCTCTCAGCCTCCCAGTTCCCGAGGATTCTTATTTGTCAGGAACATTGTGCCGTGTGCGGAGAAATTTACATTCTGAGCTTCCACTCTCTCTATTGCCTGACCAAATTTAGAAAGAAAAGGAAAGCAGGCAACTAACCATTCAAACTAACTTCTTTCATCTCTCTCAGCGGAACTACATAGCCACTGCTGGCTCTTAAGTGTATTTTCTTTCAGCGTCTAGTCTCACTTCCCAATATTTATGAATTTGGGGCTGCGGATACAATGTGCTGGTAGAGCCCTAAGCTCTTACACGTGAGGTCCAGGATTCTATGCCCAGTGACAAAAGGAGAAAGAAAAGAGGTGAACATAAAACGAAAGAAAAGAATATTTATAAACACATGCTGAACTAAGTTCTTGGGCGTGGTTTCAGATAATTTTGAAAAATGAATATTTGCAACTTGCCTCTCCCTGCTCCCACCTGCATACTTTGAAATTCACACTGAGCCCCCACATGGGACACACAGAGGTGCATCCTAAAGGATAGCAGTGCTGCAGACGGTGACCTTCAGTTAGTGAATCCTGCAGGTGCATATCCGTGTATTAGCTGTCCCTGATGACAGTTCTCTGTAGGATGGACACGTATAAGGGTTCCTTTGGCCATCTGCAATAGGAGAAGTAGCCTGACGCCATGTTCTATTTTCCCTTTATGAGATCATGTCCCCTCCGGACGTGGGAAGGAATCAAAAGGACATGTTTAATTATCCCATTTTTAACTATGAATTCTCATTAGTTCAAATTTTGTTAGTCCCAGAAAAAAAGGACAAGAAATAACAACTATACGACAATGTCGAGGACAAAGGTATGTCCCGAAGCAGGATGGAGACTGAGTGCCCTACCAATTGCCTGTGCTTGAATGTACTGACCTTCAGTCTGCTTTCAGCCACATCCAGGTCTCTTGCAAGCTGCCGTCTGTGGAGAGAAAACTACAAGTGTTCGGTATTCAGGGATCAGAAGAAGGATTCAGTGCTCTGCAAGAATGAATTATTACATGCACGTTTCGCACTGCTTTTCTAATTTGAAATCACTCCTCACAGTGGCACAAGTATATTTTTCTGATTTTCCAAGGAGACAGACTCTATCATTGAAATAAGACCGCCTCATCGCCTTTCAAGTTGGCATTCAAATTTAGAGCAATTTTAACACATTATTTTGGATGAGGAAAGTGAATAAAAAATTATTTTGAATGGAGCAGAATTTTAAACTCAGAAAGATGACAGCTCGGCACTATCTCATTCTACTGACCTGCCATGCACAGGAATTGTATTCACAAAAGCAGACCCTAACTCAGGCAACACAACCATAATAAAGTGGACTGTGTCACATGTAAATGCTGCTTGATTTAACAGATCCAGTTAAGGCATTGAAAAGCAAGGTGCAGACTGAGGAAAATGTTAGGAAAGCACGTGTGATGCGGAGGTACAGAAACACCCCTCCCAAGTCAACGGGCAGAACACAACACCCAGGATGAAGCAGCAGAGAGCTCGCACTGCAACATTTCTCCACAGAAGGCACACAGATGACCAGGAAGCAGAGAAAACTCGCTCCAAATGACTCAGCCCTGTTGCACCTCACAGCCACAGTGCTATCAATCACGCCCCTCATCTGAACCACGGTCAAAGCCTGGGAAATAACCAGTGTGCTGAGCCCTGGGGGAAACTGGAGCCCATGATCACTCTCGGGAGAACTGTCAAAAATCCACAGCCAGTTTTCGAAAAGGTCTGCTGGGGTCTCAAACCATAAACATAGCATTCTATGATCCAACAATTCGGTTTGTGAGGATCCACCCAAAACGCAGAAAACCTGGGTGTCCAGAGCTATCGCTCAGGCATAATTACAGTAGCGCTATTCACAAAAGGAACCTCTCCATACATGAACGATCAACTCAGCTGTATCCACGCAGTGAAATATTACTCAGCCTTAAAAAGGAAGGAAGCTCTAAAACATGCTGCAAGATGGATGCACCATGAGGGTATGGCAAGTAAAATAAGTCAGGAACAAAAACACTAAGAGGCTACGATTTCAATGAGATGCTGTTCCTAGGCCCCTCAAACTCATAGAGTAAAATCTCAGCATCCTGATTTTGAGGAGTACAGGGAATGGGGCAAATGGGACATGCTTCATGTGGATAGCTTCATTTTGCAAGACGAAGAGCATGCTGGAGATGCGTCACACAGCAAGAAGAAAACACCTAACACTGCTGACATCTATCCTTGAAAGAGGTTCAGGTAGCTGACTTTCTACCTGTGGGTCAGATGCCACATTTCGCAAATGAAACTAAAGTAGTAGCCACCAACGACTTTCCAGACTGAATTTATAACCATAGCCATAGAAAATCGCCACCTTGGTCCACACATCCATCGCACCTGGCACAAAGGGAGACAGGCAAAGACCCTAGGTGGTCTAAGTCTAGAGGGGGAAGAAGTGAGGCAAAGAGAGATAAAGGCACCTGGAACTGAACCTGTCCCCTAATGCCAGTTTGTACCCTGAGAGGGCAGCTCACCTGGTGGTCACAGCCGGGTACTGAGTTGCTTGGAAAATACTTTTCAGTACCTTCAACTGCCTTGGATGGAAGCGCATATTTGTCCCCTGGCTCCTACGCCGACGCCGACCCCTGGCACCCGAGGAATCCCGCTGGGTCGGGGGCAGCTGCTGGGGCTCCTGGTGAGCTTCATCCGCGGGGCGGTCAGCATCGCCTCTCTGGCTCATGATCACCTCTCGAGGCGGGCAAGAGTTGGCAGCGTGGTCCAGGTGGCCCTCGGGGCTCGTGTCGGGGCCCAGGAGGCCGAGAGCTCCTTCACCCATTGAGCCACCCGGGGCTGCAGAAGGCAAACCTCGTGCAGGCGGAGCAGCGATTTTCAGCATGCAATCCTCCACTCTGAGACGGAGAACATCAGCGGAGTTGGGCTGTGTCTCCATGGCGCCAATGCACCGAGGGGCTCACGGCCTCCGCCACACGACCGAGGGCAAAAGCCGGATTTCTTGGGAGCAGCGAGGTGACAAAATGGCGGGGCCGCAGGTTGCAATTGGTTAGTGAGACTCCACACCCCATTGGCCAGTGCGGATTCCACCGGCCCACTCCTGATGCTTCTCATTGACTGGCTATGCACAGCCTGTATTGGCATAGGGTTTACAAAGTAGCACTATGATGAGGCCTTGCCAGGAACCAACCCCAAAGCCAAGAAACTTACCAACACTGGGCATGCGCGCCACGGGGCCTGACCTTGCCATTCAGCTAGTGCGCTACACTGTCCCTGGATCGCAGGGATAATTGAAGCGATGGGTTGGAGTCCACACTTGCTAGGAATCACAGCAGTGGGGGTGAGAACTCATACTGCCCCCAGCATCTCCTGTGGGGAGGCTGGGAGATGGTCCCTTGCCCCACCCTCCATGCTGCACTGTCTGCACAGAGCAACACCCCGAATTCAGCTGGCCTGGCCCCGTAGGGGCTGCTCGATCCCAGTACCCCGGTGAGGATGAAAGCAGACTCTGTCGCGCTGCCCTTAGCACCCCACCCCGGACGTGTGACAGGCAGGGTGCTGACCAGGGCTCGTCAGGAACCCCCAGCCCCGTGAGTGAGTCTATCCTTCCACCGTTTCGCAAGGATTCCACTGGGGAAAGTTAAATCCCTGCCCAGGGCTCATCCATCCGGGAACCCCCTCCGTCCATGCATGCGGTCCTACCTGTTTCTGTTGTAGTGAAGACCGATGATTCATACTCAGAAAGCAGTGAGAACTACAGCTGGGCCTTAGTAACTCTGCACAGGTAGGAGGAAATGAACAAGCAAGCGTATGTATCTCCGTTCCGAGTACCTTCAAAGGGCCATCTTTCCAAACAGAATGCATTGCAGGGCGTTTGGGGAGGTTATCGTTAAGAGAATCTTAGAGATTGCGAATTTCTGCTTTCTTTCTCCTAGGACGTGAATGTAATTGTAGAAATCTTCCTCATATCATTCGGTGCTGGAGCAGTAGAGTGATTCTTGCGATTGTTTCTGTGCAGAGGCCCAGAGCAGTAAAGCACGTGTCCTGTGGTCGCACACATGCGCTCATTTGCTCTGGCCTTCTGAGGATGAGAAAGCTTCTTTGATTAAGAGCCACGATGGAGGCCTTGAAATAATGTAGAAGACTTTCAATTAATTTAGGAGACATTAATTTAGACATTTGGGTGAAAATCAACACCAGTCTGAATTTTAGATCAGAGATTAATTATCATTGACTACCCAAGAGGGGCACTACTCATCTACAAAAGAAATGGAGGGCTGGGGATTTAGCTCAGTGCCACTGGCCTGTCTTGCAAGTGCAAGGTCCTGTATTCAATCTGCACTACTGTTGTGCCCAAGTTGCGAAGTCCCCAAAGTCCACTGAGGAGTCGAATCTGATGTAAATACACAAGGAGTTTATTGCAAGCTCGAGCCTGGACCCCCAGTGTCGCCGACACAGCGGTTTCAAACTAGAAGCCCAGATGCACTTATCCAGCCTACTATTATAGGGTTAGGGTGGCTTGAAAAGTATCTTATTCTTATTGGCCTATAACTAATATTTTTTCTATTGGATGTTGCTGGGGCACGTGCAACAGAGGGGAGATAATTATAACAAGCTGGGGAGAGGGCTAATTCAGAGACACAACAGCGTATCTTTTTCTGCAGAAAACATCTTGAATAGGTACTTTCCACATCTAGGGTAGGTACTTTCCACAATGCGCATCCTGTGTGGTGTTTCAGTGAGGCCTTAAAAATCCCCTCTGTACTTGGCAAAGCATGGGGTTTCTCTTGTTCAACTCATCTCTAACTTATCCTACTTGGCAAACTTAAGCAACTATTGGGGAGGGGATACATTGAACAAAGGAACAGACGATCAGGAAGGTTTATATAGAAAATGGAGTTTCTTTTGCTCTCCGCTCAGAAAACCCGGCCTCTACATTCTGGGCAAAGGGCAAAGAAGGAACCCACCTTGATCATAAAATTCAGTCCCGATACTACCAATAAATAAACAAATAGATAAATAAATAAATAAAGGAGTGATATAAGGCCAATCCAAGTGCACTTCATCCTCCAGACTGGGGAGTATAAAAATAACAGTAAAAAAAAAACAACAACACTAAAAAGAATGAAGCAATAAGAGTGAATGACAAAAAGCAAAGAGAATAAAAGAGAACACTACAAAAAAACAAAGGAAAACAAATCCAAGAATGGCAGGGAAGTGGTTTTTAGGGATCATCCCAGGGAGGTACAGCTGCCGAACTCTCCACTTGACTTGAAACATCGATGGGACGGGAGCTTACCAGCCTCGGGTGCCTTGCTCACCACAGTCTCAGAAGTGCACAGCCCTCCCTCCCCACTATGACTTCAATCGCCAAGGAAGAGCCGGGAGGAAGAGGATGAAGTCTTAGATAAGGGTGAACAACTCACAAACCCTGTTTTTCAGAATAGGTACTGTGTTCTTAGTAAAAGCTTCTTTGAGCATGTTGGACAAAGATGATTGGATTTTGGCCTTTTTGGTGTGGTTTAAAAAGAGGGAATTCTTGTCTATAACCTGACAATGGCCTGAGCCTGTAACCCTAGCTCTGTGCGGGCTGAGACAGGAAGACAGCAAGTTCACTGCCAGCATGGGAAATTTAGAGAGACCCTGTGTATAGTGAAAACTGATAAGTGGAGATTTAAGCATAGGGCTCACTTAGTAAAATTCATTTTAAGCGCTCAGGATATTAAGTAACACTTCTGGGGCACATACAAAATAAATTCTAGAAGTGATAACTCTAGAGGGCTTAAGCTGTCTGGAGCAGTATAATTGGCTGTAATTTGATTTGTTTTTGAATAAGAGATGCGGTGCCTATATCCACAGATGGAGGGGTGTGGATGGAGCAGGAAACGGGGAAAGGTGGACACTGGTCCGGAAGCACAGCAGATGCACAACACACACCACCCTGAGCCTGTGTGAGGCACGCACAAAATAAACTCCTTTTGTTACTTCAATTAGAAGATTGCAAAGGACATAAGCTGTTGAAATTCTTTTCCTGGGATTATTTGCCTTTCATTTTTCTTTATGTGCTTGAGATTATTTGCCCACTTTGTTTCTTCATAGAAAGTCTAGGTAGGTAGTCCAAGTTGGCCTTGGACCCACTATGTAGCCCAAGCAATGTTTAATTCTAACAAAGTCGAAATTATCAACTTTTCTCTACTGGATGGTGCAGTTGGGGCTTAAAATCCATCAACAAACCGCAGGTCACCAGAATTTTCTCCTATGCTAGCATTTAGAAATTTTTTACTTTTAACTAACTTTCAATTTTGGTCAGTACATAATAAGTACAGTCCTCCTGGGTCGTTACACATACACGACACTTCTTAATTCTTTCTCTTTAAAACTCTGTGTCCGACTTTCAGTGGTACCTCAGTCCATGGACTTAATTCCCAGCAAGCCCACAGTAGGAATAGGACAGGGTGCCAGTTGTGGTACTTTCCAATCCACAGTTCAGGCCCATCCTGGAATCTGGTCGCCAGAGTGGGACCTGAGTCGTTTACACACACACGGTGTCTCTTGCCGGCTTGACCATGGCTTCCTGACAATGAACGTCTCCCGGGGTTGTCCCTCACCCTGTCACTGTGGGATTTTAACACTGGAAGCCTTGAGATGAGGCCATCCCATGGCTCCTCTGAGGCCCGCATTGAGTGGGCCCTTCCCTAAAATAACATCTTACTGAGCCGTGGCTCCGGGGAACACAGCAGTCACCTGGACTAGAGCCGATCACCAACTCTTACAGAGCTCCACTGCGTCTGTGCCTCTCTGCCAGACACCTCTGGAGTCATCTGCTTCCACTGTGTTTCTGTGGGACCCTCCTTCCTTCCTCACCCCAGGAGCTAGATCCTGGGGAAAGAGTACAGATTTCCTCTTCCCTGGGTCCGTGGGACCCACCTACCTTCTTTGTTTCTTTCACAAGTTGTTATTTTTTGCTGTCCGGATTCGAAATCCTGGCGAGGTTGATTTGTGGCTGCTTATAGCTCCCTTAATTCTTTTTCCATCCCCTTCTCCTCTCCTCTTTTCCTCTCCCTCAGTATCTTGTCCCCCTCCCCATTGACAGAAGATCTGTCTCACTGTTTCCTATCATATTTTATTTTGCTCTTTCATTTATCTTTTGCGTTTCACATATAAGGCGAGCCATGCGATATTTTAGCTTGTTTGCTTTCTTTATTTCACTTCACATTATGGTCTCAGGGTGCGTCCCATTTCCTACAAATGATGCAAGTCCATCCCTGTTTCTGGCAGAGTATTATATTCCCCTATGTGTAAATACCACAATTTCTTTTTCCGTTCGTCTGCTGCTGAACACATAGGTCAGTTCTAAGATTTAGCTATGAAGAACTGTGCTGCTATAAGCAAGGGTATACACGTATCACTGCAGTGTAATGTCTTTAACTCTTTCAGGAAGTCAGCGAGTCGGGGAATAGCTAGGTTGAGTGGAATTTCTACTTTCAGTTTTTTGTTTTTTGGGTTTTTTTTTTTTGAGCAATCTCTGCACTGATTCTCACGGTTGTACTACTGCAGCTTTTATGCAGGCTTCTGACTCATTTTAAGTTTCATTTTGTGTCAGGACTTGAAGTTCATTTTTCCTTACCATACAGAGGCCCAGTTTTTCCAGGTCCATTTATTGATGAAACTAGCCTTTCTCCTTTGTATTGCTTTTGATTCTTCATCAAAGATTACTAATTTTATTTGCATATGTATTCCTGAGCTCTCTATTCTGCTTCATTGAGTGACTTGTCCCAATACCACCTTCCCTTGATTATTAGAGTTTTCTGACATGTATTAAAGGTGGATCGTGTAACTTGGCTGTTCCGGGCATTTTGCTTTTCCACATACACCGTAGAATCAGTTTGCTAATTATCACTAGGTGACCTCCTGAGATCTTGATTGCAGTTCCAGTCTACAGACCAAGTGGGCAAGATCTGACCTCTAACAATATTAATACTTTCTATCC